TACTACGACTACCACTACGACTACTACTACTACTACGACTACTACTACTACTACTACTACTACTACTACCTTTTAGCAGCTTATTCAAGGGGAGTGGACCTCATGCATGGTACCTCAGACCTTCTTGACCTTTTTAGGGGGTCATTCATCCAGGGTTGACATAACAAAAGCTTCGTGTGCGTGGCTTGAATGCGTGGGTTCATTATGCGTGTTTTTCATTTGCCATCATAAGCGTGGTTCACCGCCGCTGATGCGTAGAGTGCTTACATGAAAAGTAAGTGTTGCATCCGAATTTCACTCAGGCAAATGTACTCGACTGATTTAACCCAGTGTGTCCCAAAACCATTTGACTGAGTAGTTGGACTGCAGTCTCAAGTTAGGCTGGGCTTTCAGTATCCTCCAACCTATCCAGAATTCAGTCCATCTATAATCCATTTCTGAAACTTCCACGGTGTCATGTTTGGTTCCACCGTTGCTACCTATACAAACAACACTTCCGATCGAAGCCCCGCTTTCCTTTCCATCAAATGTTGTTTGTTAAAAATGTCTTTCCTGGTCGAGGTCTATCTCACGTCAGCCCACCTGGCGATGCTGTCCAGTTCGATCGCCAAGGCAGATGATGCAGATGGGGATTGGCATTGGTTTTTCACTACGGCCAAGCTTCAGAGATTCCTTTGTAGCCGTCAGTTGTGAATCATGAGTAAGAATTATACCGCACCCAAAAACCATAGTGATATAGAATCATAATCTGCAACATCAGTTACTTAGCAACTTAGGTATTTTGATCCCTTGGATTCACAAATTTGCCTAAAAATCCAACACGGACACCCTTTGGCAACCCAGCCGTCAGGTTTCACCTATGGCTGATTATTGAGTAATTGTTTCACTTGAAAAAAAACTAACCAGTGTGAATAGAGGTGAGCTATTGATGATATTTTGCCTTTGAATTAGGGACTACGTCCTGGAGCGTTTGGAAGTCCTGGTGTTCTGTCTATTTGGAATAACATGGAATAACTTAACCATGAAAAACCGCTTGTGGAAGTGTTTTTTTCATGGCCCTTTCAATTGCCACCGCTAGTGAAAAACCGGTCCATTCCGGTCCATCGGTCGATTGTTCGTTCACACCGGTCGTGGCCGTCGATAGGCCGAAGTGAACAGCCCACAGTTCTCTTCCTTGCTCACGCGGGAACTCAAGGCACTGAGCGTTCCAACGGTGGACGTTGGGTTCGAAAGGTCTGGGCTTCCTGGACAAAAAAGGTCTGGAAACTGAGGGAGTGGTCACAAACCAACATGGGTGATTTTCCATTTATATGGTGATAATGATATGTTAATCATGGGTTTTCTGGATTGTGAGGGCAAATTGTTGTCGAAGGCCAGGAAGCCGAGTAAGCTGAGTTGGGGTCTTTTGTCCAGTGGTCCTTGACCCACTGACCCAAGCGAGTGGGGAGAGATGTTGCGAGTTCTAAACGATCTGAGTTGCTTGGGTCAGGAAAGGTGTCTTCAAATCGTCTTGGAGACGTAGTTCGTTGTGATAGCATGTTTATAGCCAGTACATCTGCAGGAGATGGATGCTATTTCGCCCGCCCCATGTCAATCTACACACCCACATAGCCATCCATTTGTTCAAGTCAGCGGACCTCGCTCAGCGTTCGGTCGGCCTCTCAAAGGCCTTTGAGGAACCTTAACACAGTGATGTACATAGACATGGGTCAGTCAGTCGGCACGAGGTGCTCACCAAATCAGATTCTTCCAGGATGCCATTGGCTCAAATGTTCATAACTTGAAAGGAACCTGATTGACAGAGACCCAAATCAGGTGTCCGTCCATCCCCTTCAATGAAGCGGAGTGAGGGCGTCAAAATGTGCTGTTCAGTTCAAGTCTTGGAATGCAGTCAGACCTGGCTACAAATGAGACCCCTGCAGACCACCTATGAAACTAGATCAAAAAGAACAAAAAGGATCAGCCTTTTAGTCTACAGTACTTCAATCACCCGCAATGTATTGGCCTTGCGAAGAGGCCCCTTTCTTCTTGGGGAACACACGGTTGTATTTGGATGCTGGAACAGTTGTGATTCCTTGCTTAGATACTTGTTCGCTAAAGTCATAGCAGTCAATAGCGGTCGTTGCATTTCAATGAATACGAGCCATTATGAGCCTGCCTTTGTTCCCTTCAGGCCTTGTTTCCTTTTCCTAAGTGACCGGCTGAGTGTTTTCCTACATCGGAGCGATCAACAGACCCGCATAGACCCACATAGACCCAAACTACCCACCGTCCTTCAGTCGTTCGCAGCGGTTGACTTCGCGGCGAAGCGGGGACTTTGCGGCGCCCATGCGGTTCATTGTCTACCTGTTCTGGAGATGGGTCACTGGCTCTTCAGTGGTGGGGCGTGTTTTTTTTTGCAGATGAACATGTCCATGACGTGAGCTGGTTCATTGGGAGGTGTTCGAGGATCCCCAGGGAGAGGCAATGTGCGCGGTGAAGCACAAATCCCAACATGTAATTGGACCTATAATCATAAATACATGCATAACTAATATGCTTATTATATGCATGTACATATATATATATATAGAGAGATCCTCTAATCTGCTGAGCTCGTATGTTGCACTCGATAGTTGACAGGCACAGGGTACTGTCAGACTAAGAGAATTCAGAATTTCCAATGCTGTTGGACTTGGCCCCGATGGGCCAGCGATACTTTGCATCACTTGTTTCTCTTTGCCAAAGAATTCCGGCTCACATGTCCGGTCACAGGGGTCGTTTAGACAGTGCTCTCCGGTCTGTGGGAGCTCACACCGACCTCCCCAAGTGAAGGAATCGAACCGCCAAGAATACAGGCAAGGAGTAAAACGTGATGCTTATTCAAACCTTGAAGATCATGGGAGTATAAACGACCCTTATTCTCCCGATAGAAAGAAGAGAATGGTTTGTTGTGCTTGGGTTCGAAAGGGCAGTTGTGGGTGTTGACGAAGAACCACGTTGGTTTTGCGGGCATCATCCTTCACTCGGTGCGTAAGGGCCAGCCTTGGTTTAAAAGTGCACTAGCTTGACGCGTCAAAACCAGTCAAACAAATTAAACAAAGTAAAACATGACCCATCGGTATGAGTTCCTCTCCCAGTTGGTTGACTGTTTTGGGGCGGGGCTGCAGGCGAGAAAGATCTTGCAATACCTCAATGCCAGCGACTACATTGCTGGGACCCTGGCGATTTCAGCAGCTTGGTTAAAATTACGTGTTGACTGAGAGGATCTGAGAGGTAAGACAGAAGATGGATGTTTTTCCAATCCAAACCGGCCCTGGCCAGTTTTGGTCCATGGTTTTTCTAGTGATGTTTGGATGTTCCCAAACTTTACCCTTTATCTCGGCTATCATGAAAGTGGATGGGTTGGCCCTTCCAAGAAGGAATTCTCTAAAGGAGTTGGGGTGTTCATACCAAACCATGATTCTTGGATGGAGGGTGTGCAAACAACGCCTGGATTCCAGAGCTCATCGATCTCCGCGTACTATAGCTTTGGGAGTGTAAAATCAAGGCTGGCGTCTTGGGATTCCGCAGCTTATTTCCAAGCACCTCTTGGTGGAACAGCCTGGGTTCTCGTAGCCAAGTGAGCCGCAGTCCAAGTGTCATGGCTTTCGACTCAGTTTAATAATTTACCAGAAAAGCATCAAAGACATGTCCACCATGTTTCAGCGGTCTGCTAGTAGTATCCTGTGCGCATACCCTTTCCGCACTGTTTCGACTAAGAACTTCAAAATTGAGCCCTCAGCAAAGCTGTTTCAACATGCGCATGTTTAAAACATTTTAAAACCAAACTTCATCTGCCTGCACTCAGTAGCTCGAGTCAGCCAAAACAAGTACTTGCCAACCCACCATTCGCCAATACCGGCGTGATCCAATCCACCGCAGCTCCACTCGGGCGATCCGCTCGCAGCTCGCAGCTGCGATCTCGCAGCTCCGCTCGGTCTGAGGCCATGGGCGTCTTTCGGGATGCCTCGCAACATCTCATGAAGATGCTCTGCCACGCGGAAGAGACGACCGACCGCGGTGGGACGCGCGAGGAACGGCGCTCCGAATCGTCCCAACTTCAGGGGCCTAAACAACGAATCGGCCAAACAGGGCGGAATCGGGGACCGGTACGAGCGAACTCGCGAGTGGCGAAAGCAGGACATTCAGTGTGGCCCCCCAAAGACCAAAAACAGTTTGGACCGCTGGAGATGAGGACAGTGAGTGAACCCCATTCCGGGGTCAGTTCAAAACGAAGAAGAACGATCCAGGAATCCAGGAGCAAGACTAAGTGGTGTTCTTCGAGGGATTTCAGTTGCTTCATCAGATTTGGATTCAGGGATTCAGCAGCAGGGGGGTTGGACTTTAAAAACAGGTGCGGGACTACGGAGCCAGCACCAGCACGGAGCCAGCACCGGTTCGGTTTGCCCTAGGTGACTGGGCTGTGCGCAGGCTTTGGGCCTCCGTGCGGCTGCAGGAGAAGGAGACTCCAGTGAAGTGAAGGAAGAGGGCATAAGAGGGCCCAAAGGATTTAGTTGCTCAACAGCCTGGTGGTTCCCAAGTGATTCCCAAGTTCCATGGTACTTTTAAACTCTTGAAGATTCTTGAGGATAAATTTGCTTACTATCCAATTTGAGCGGGCTCTCTACCCAGGAGGCTTACATAGTGGTGTCTCTGACAAGAAGGCGTGTGTGATCTTTCATTTTGTGAACTGCGCCCACCAAACTTCAAACCCGCAATGCTGTCCCTGGCAGGATCCATAAGCCATCATAAGCCTCAGCCCTTTGTACCTACTGTAGCAGGGCCAACCAAGTGATCTGTAAAAAAATCCTGCAACACTGGGAAATCACCTGACACAAACGCAATCTCGTGTTTTCACTGTTCCATCGATTTGCAGGGATTTTCTTGGGGGTCCTCGTCCGTTCGTTGAACGTTGCTGCTCTTTTTCCCACCAGTTCAACGGGAAACCGCGGTTCCCGGCACAGGATGCTGACCTGGTGATGGCCTGGCTGCGCGAACGGCCCGAGGTCAACGACACGGCCAAGCTCTGGCTCTACGCCCGGCGCGGGGAGGGCAAGAGCACCAGCAGCTCGAAACGGCACGTGTCGCGTTGGTGATGAGGCCAAAGGAATGTGGGAAGAAGTGCTTTGCTGATCTATATAATTGATTATTCATGATGGCTCAAATAACAAGCCCGGACTTGGACTGTAAACTTCTTCATAGGTTTTGGGGGTTTATGGGGGGTTATTAATCAAGACATTCTACATTGGGATGCAAGTAGGATGTAATTGTGAAGGATGTATGTTGGTGATTTGTAGCCAGGTGCGGTGCTCCAAGTGACCAAGAAGTTGTTTGATAAAGAGCTTGCAACTGTCATTTGTATGGCACTCAGGTTCGTTTGTGATCCCTGATGCTTGGGCATTGAGTGCTCTGTAGGAATTGTCCTGCGTAGCTTTGTTTCTGGCGACAGGTCAGAGGATATAGTATAGTCCACAAGAAAAGAGCAGGAATTTATCTTGGGAGAACAAGGAGCCCTTCAAGTTAAGTAGATATGGTATACTGACTGTAATTAATATATATATATATTATTATATATATATAAGTAATCTTGTCGGGCATGGCAGTGTCAGGCCTGGTCTTTGCGACCCAGGCTTTACGAAATACTGTAGATGAACAGATACTTGGGGAAAACACCCCAAACAGGTTCTTCAACAACCAGTATGATTGTCATCGATTGTCCTAGACCTCAGACGTCACACATAAATCTTTCTTGTGAAACCAGTATTTTTGTTTGGTAGATTTACGGTAAGTCGATGTCAAGAACTTGTTGCCAAAGGACTTTGCATCCTAAGCTTGACATTTACATATGTTGATAAAGTATCTTAGATATTCAAATTATTCAATGACTTGTTGCATTCTTGTGGCACGCCAGCTCAATGCAGTACTCCATGTATACCTGTTCTTTGGGCTTTATCCAGCGTATCCAGCCACCCCTTTAAGCACTGAGGCTACGAGTACGAGCCAGAGCTTTCCGTGACCAGTCGCATCCGGCAGCCCGGCAGATGCGAATGGTGAGCCCCTATCGTTTGATCATGTTCGATTCATGTTTGATCGAAGCCGCAGTGTGTGTTTTTTTTGGGGGAAACGAAAGAAAAAGTATATCATATTATATCATTTGTTTTTAGAATCACGGCGAGTTTGATAGTTTTGTTAACAGCTATATATGGGCTAGTCAAAAGGATGGGCGATGTGTATCAATTGAATGGTTTACTGTAATTCAGAGAGCATGAAGACTCACTATGTAGACGGATCATCGGATTGGCACGCATGTCGGTGAGGTTGCTCGTTGTAGACACAGTATTGTTCGCGTCATTTGAATCTCTGAAGGTTTTGTCCTCGTCGCAGGGTTTGGGAGTCATGTTCTGTTCAACTGTGCACATTCCTCTTCCATGAGCCTGTGAAGATGCTCTTCAGGTGTCTAGTTTGTCCCGAACCCTGAAGTGTTTGTACCATCCCAAAACTTGGAGCTGGTGTTACTCTATCAACGCTGGTCCTTTTTGTCCACAGAAGTCATTGGGATTCGCTCTCAATCCTCAGCCATTGGCAAGGTGCACGAGGAATGGACGCAGCCAGTGGATTTGGATCACCCGGGACGATCGCGACAGTGATGGGAAGAAGGCCAGTTGCCAGCCATGTGCGGGAAGATCTCCACGTCGGACAGCATCCCCCTAGCGATGCACTTGTTTCTACTAGCTTCTTGTTACTACTAGTAAGGCACTTGTTACTAGTAGCAATGCACTTGTTTCTACCCCTTAAAAAATGGTTGACCTGGTGTTGTAGTCTAAAGTTAGTAAAACGGTTTCATCGAATCACAGGGATCCTTTGACCTTCCAACATGGACCATGGGTTTCTTTCGACAGCCGTGCCCACCGGCCCCAACCCCCGTTTCGACTGCCCAGGCCACCGTGTCGTTCTTGGGCCGTGACAAGGAGCGGGACCGAAGGTATGGGACCGGAGTGTGTTTTCGGCAGTTACGTGTGCGATGGACGAAACCAGAGGGGGAGCAGTGCAGTTGACACTTTAAGGTTTGAAAGAGGTAAAGTCATTGAAAGCTCTGAGACCTGACCTGAGAGAGCAAGTATCCTCAGATATCTTAATCGATAGAACATGATAGAACACTTTTTGGCGTGAAAGTACTAGTACTAGTGGTAGTAGTAGTTGTTGTTGGTTTAATGGTTGTAGTAGGAGTAGTCTTGGTAGTGGTAGTAAGTAGGATGTAGGAATTTGGAAGTTGGAAGTTGGAAGTAGGAGTAGGGCCAGTAGTAGTAGTAGTAGTACTACTACTACTAGTAGAAGAGTAGGAGTTGGAGTAGGAGTAAGTAGTGGAGTAGGAGTAGGAGTCGGAGTCGGAGTCGGAGTAGTAGTATTAGCAGCAGCAGTAGTAGTAGTAGTAGAAGTAGTAGTAGTAGTAGTCGTCGTCGTCGTCGGCTTAGTAGTCGTACTATAGTATCAGTTACTAATTCATAAAATCGATCTATGTCATGTGGTATATTGTGCGACGTGTAGCACATGCAAATGTACGACAGTGGCCTCGAGAGCCTTAACATGTTGTGTGGTAAGGAATCTAAAGACCTAGGACCTAGAGATTGCAAAGCTGATTCCCTTTTGTCGCATCCAGGTTCAACTAGCAGCGTTTCCTGTGAAACAAATTGGTTGTATGATTGCAGCCTCAATTGCCTCACATGTGTTTCTGTGCTACGCTGATTTGTGCTACGCCAACCCCACGGAAGGCCCTGCTCGAAAGCATCCTGGAAGAAGGAAGAGAGATCCAACGACAGAAGCGCGAGCGGCTTGTCCAGGTTTGATGTGACTTTTGACCCACAAATACCTACAGACTACAGATAGATACAGGTTTAATCAGGTTTATAGGTTATTTTGATGTGCTTTGTGTGTAAATATATAGTTGTAAACACCTAACTATACAGTGTTATATATATACAGGTGTAAATACATTTGTAAATACTAATTGATGGGGTTCTTTACATCCAATGTGTTCTTAGGGAGCAGCTAGGTAGGTGAAAAGAAAAAACCATCGTAACATGTATGACCATGTATGACTAGAATAACACATGTGTGGGCCAAGATGTTCAGCGGCTCTTTGGACCCTGTGTAGCCGCATATGGATGCTTGGAAGGTGTAACCCGCAGTGTTAGAACCACTTCTTAGAATCTGTCGGAAATTGGAGGCTGGGCGATGAATTGTAGCTAGTTAGCCACAGGCAAAGTCTTAGCCTTTAGTATTCATATGTATTTATGTAAAGCTGGCCCTAAGGACCGAGTGAGAATTTGCACAGGGCTTCCAAAACGAAACCAACGAAACCGCGGAAAACCAAACACGAAGCTTAATACCAGATAGGACTAACCCATTTTTTGTATATTCGAATGTCACTGAGTACCTACACAGGTTGCCTTTCTGATTCGGTTCCGATTCCACCCTCACGTTCGCGCCTTAAGCGGGAAAGACGGAAAAAAGAGATCCGATGTCTCACGAATGCCTCGGGTTCATTTCGAAAATTCTGGTATCAAGACTGGTTTCCAGTCAGCTGAAATCCAACAGCACCCATCCAATTAGAAGGAGATCACCTTTGGTTTGCTCAACAGAACCTAGCAGTCAGACGACTTCCTGGTTGTTGATGGAAGATGCACATGGGGACAGCTCGACAAGTCTCAAACGATACATTTAACGATATATAAAGGATACTAAAAGTGTTTGTCATGTTAGAACGTTTTTCAGGACTTCGATTTCTATCTACAGCAAGTCTGTTACTGCCTTCCCTTGGTCCCAGGAAATTCCTCACAGTGGTTCAGGTGCGGGACGTTGAACGACGTGTGCGGTCACTCCCTCAAAAAGACACGGTCGCAGCATGCTGGCCGCAGCAAAACTGGAAAAACACCTGCGACCAAAATTGTTTGAGGGCTTTTGAGACCAACTCCTTTGTCCGTTTTCCTCTCCGGGTGGGATTACTTATTTATAAATTAAAGATTACAAAGCCCAGGGATCGGAAAGGGCTCCCTTTTCTCGGGCCAAGCAAGGTCTTTTTGGTGACATCAAACTTGTAAGGCCATTTTAAAGTGTTCACCAAGAAATCAACATAAATAAACTTGCTGTATATAAATCAACTTGGACGGAAATGATTACATGCTTGCGATTTCCAGACATTCTCCAAATCACGGACCCCGCATGGAGAAGAATTCGGACCTTCTCCAACAAAAGCACAGCTGGAGCCACAGATGCGTTAAAGCATAACATAACCTTGTATGGTGCTGGCAACAGCTTCATTCACCGATCCAAAGGAGGTTGGGAACGTCTTCCCGATACGTCTCCCGCCGCCTGCGGGGAGCCTCCGTCGGCCCGCCTCCGCCGGCATGTCGATCTTCCTGGGAAACCCAGTGTCAGAAACGCATGGTTGTTCCATCACTATTTATACAGAGACCAAATGGCCTAAGGGGTCGAGTGGTCTATTTTCCTTCTTCCAAGGGATCTTTGGGGGGTGTCCTCATTCTAATACACATCCAAATGGTTGTTCCATGTTGTTCCGGCAATTGTCCGATCATCCTTTGCATTATGAAGTGGGGACTGCAGAGTTCTGAACTGTTTCTGCTTGGGACTGGGCTTTGAGCCCGGTTCATGTCCCACTAGTCTATTTTTTACCTGCATTCTCGTGCGCTACACCGGCCTGACTGGCGGGTATGTGGTCGGCAGCACCGTGGCACCAGCGGAGCTACATATGTCATCCGCTGGTCGTCTCACTTGTGAAGCCATCCATCACTGCGCGGCTTCACGGGCATGTTTGTTGGTGATGAAGACACGTTGTTTGTTCTTAGCAGAATTCAAGATGTCGGAAGATCCAGTGGCCGCAGAGCACCTACTGTATCAACAACAGGATCCAGGGTAGTTTCTCCTTGTTGCAAATCCTCTTGTCCTCGCACATGTCCGCCCAAATGTTTGGAGGTCTATGACTTTGGAAAGGAGCATGGCTTGAATTGGCTACACCCTCAGGAGCGAAGAAGACGAGCTGCTCGAATCGTTTCTCTTGTGTGAGAAGACCCTCTGGTGGTCTGGTCTGCCGGATGTAGCAATGGCAAGGGAACATTATGTGCACTGAGACCAAGGCCCGAGCTTTGCATCGAATACCAGGAACTAGGAGATCCTTTCCTACTGAAAGGTGAATATTTTTGTTCTATCGAAAGTTCATAACTTGATTAGAGGGCGGCGCTTGTTTCTAGACAGATACACAACCTGACAGCATTAGCATCCACCATCAACACGCGTCCCGAGCAAGCCAGCCAGGCCCTCTTGATGGCAGCATGCTCCAGTTGAATTGAATGAGTCCCCTACTCTCAACCAGAAAGAGTCAACCACCTTGCATATTCAAGGTCGGTTCAAGGTGATCGTTGCGTGTTCCATCCTGTTTTATTTGGAAATCCTTCAGAATGTAATCATCTGTACAATGATACAATCTACGTCGATTCATTTATTATGCATTGATCAACTCAACCTTTTGGCCCAATTCCTGGCCAAAAGCCCCCCAAAGCCCGATGCCTCCGGCCGAGACAGCGGTCGTCTTCCGCCAGGACAAGGACCGGAAACAGCCGGGCCGCTCGATTTCCTCGGTGGTCTTGCCCAGACACAACGCGCAGAGCAGCATGGACCAGGCTGAGGCGATCCAATCACTCCCATCATTGCCGGTGGTGCTTGGAGGTGTGAGTATTACTGGTAGAAGATTGATGAAGATGGAGATCTTAAAGATCCCCGGTTACAAACTAGAATGTCTGTGGTGTGGCATCTCCTTGATGCCAAAAAATGGACTGATGTGTTGGAATCCCATCTAGTGATCAACATGCAAGACATTGTAGCCGTATTGTAGCCTTTAATTCAGTATGCATCCGAACATGAGAGAACCTGATGGACACTGGGCCTTTTATCGATTTGTTTGATCAATCATTCTACATCAACTACAGTATGTTTTCAACTTGTTGGGAACTGTTGTGTGGTTTCTCCATATTCCACGAGCCCATGCAACGAAATGCGTCAAAATGATCATGGAAAGTGAAGCAGGAAGTCTCATCCGAGCGAACAAGGCAAGCAGCCCTGCCAAACAGTTTCGCAATCCGAGACACTCACATCCAGGCCTTGTTGGAGGATGCCCGGGAGTTTCTGGCCTCCGAGGCCTGGTATACGGAGCGTGGCTCGGCGGCGCATTGGTTTCTTCCGGCTTCATAGCTTGGCCATGTGGTGTTTGGAGGTTCCATGACTGGTGATGCCAGCTGCCTCCGCTGCCTCTCGGGGAGAGCTTTTCCACGAAGGTTCTGCATGCGCCAGCTAAGCGCAAGCTGCAACAGAGTTTTCTTCCACTGGGCGTGTGACTCAAAAGATCTCAACATGGTACAAGGCTTTCGAAGGTAGTAAGGCATAGTATACGGCTTATAAAACCACACCTCCATGAAAACTCATGGGCTAGCGGCTTGGGACGTTTCAACTTCACCTCCGAGATCGATCGCTCTTTGCTAGTAAGGCTTACGGAGCCCCGTTCGTAGCGTCCGATCGCTCCGTTCGTAGCGATGCCCTTTGTTACTAGTAGCACATATATATACTAGGCCCAGATGAGATGGGACTTGTAAAATGTACGTCGCCAACCACCAGTCCTATCTCATCAGCGTGCAACCATGTTTTTAGAGCTTCCACAAATCCCATCTCATCAGGGAAATCAAGCAAAACTATGCAAAGAGAGAATCACTAGAGATCACTCCAGGTGATCCGAGGCCTTGCATTGTTTGGGGGTGATGAGGTGGTGTCATGGGAGTTGTGTCATGTTTGTGGGAGCTTCATGCCAGGGCATCTGGCCCATCTGGCTGAGCTCGTAAATCCAAAGTGCTACTGCAAAAACAAGTTTCAGTGGCACGTACAAGTGCTTAAAGCGCAAACTGACTTGAAGAACACAGCAGAAGGCACGGGCAGGGAAAGAACAGAGCTTACTTCTTTCTATCTGCTGCATGCAAGGTTTGATGATTTGCTTTGTTTACGATAAATACTTGGGACATATGAAAATCACATTTGCCAGGACACTTCAGCAGCTACCCCCACCCCCCACCCCCCCAAAAAAAAACATGTCCACAACCCACAACTCCTATCTCATTGCAATTTGTCTATGGAAGACGCCTGTATTTTGCACATGTGAGATAGGACTAGTGGCCCCAGAGTCCCAACTCATTTTGGGGCACTAGTCCTATCTCTTCTCAGCCTAGTATAGTAGTTTCTTGCTTCTAGTATCGATGGCCTCCACCTAGTAGCTTCTACTGGATAAGGGTGGCACGTCATCCTGAGGAGTAAGGAATACTGCTACTTCTACAGGGGTGGTAAATTTGCCTCATTCCCTACTTTTTCGTCGCAGGAAGGGTCTTTGAACGAAGAGCGGCAGAAACGCTGCCTCGATCCGCAAATTGAGTTACGAAAACGGCGCTAACAGCGAACAGCTACAGAATGGTTTGGAGCAAGGCACTTTGAAGCTCATGTGGCTCATTTCACCCGACGCCCTAACTCACCCTGGTACGGAACGCCCTACCAGCTCAGGGTGAGTCTATGCTGGTCGCCTCTGTGGTCAACCAGGGTCCCACGGTCTCCACAGACCACCCACCGGAACCATCACCCGAGGTGGAATCCCCTACCGCAGGGGCTACTTGCTCTATGGCGTGCCGGGCGGTGGTCGCTGGACCAAACAAGTTAGACTGCCTCCGGCCATCCTGGTGCTGCGTCACCCCGGTGGGGGGGAACTAGTTTGGATCCAATATGATCCAATATTCCGCCGGCTCTAATTGATCTCCAATTGATTGATCTAATGATTCTTCGTAACCGGATGATTAAAATTAGTTGATCCTCTCACCCAAATCTCCGGAGACGATATCTGACTGGCCGCTCTGGGCCCCAAACACACGCGTGAGAATTCAGCATGTGGTCTTTCTGGGCCGGTTGAGTCCCGACACTCTGGGGTTCTCAAAGAAAACATCCATCAAACGATCAAAGACTAAGAGATCTTGACCACTCAACCTCCTCGTGCAGGTTAGATCATCACCAGCCCGTGGTCCATATCCTGTCAGGTCGTACCATGGCGGTGATTCATCAGACCATGGGAAGAACCACCAACCAATATCAACCAATCCTTTTTCAAAGCAGCTTTAGTATTGGAGCGGTTTGTGAACCCACAAAGATTGAGGCCGCAGGCGCGCAGGCAAACCGTGGTGCGTGGTGGCAGTACGTGAATCGTGGTCATGAGCAATTCACTGATGTTTTTCTGCAGACGAAAGCATTGGTTCATTTTTTTGGGTTGCTCACCGGGTTGACGAACGCATTCTTTCATCATTGCTTCGTTGGGCTTGAGGCAAGAGCTCACTCATCATGGCTGTGGCCAGTGAGCTTCGACTGCCCATCTACGTGATGAGCAACTTCGACTGCCCATCCCGGATGGGTCGCAGTGGATCCGATGTAGGTGAACACAAAAGGAGCTGAATGGACTACCAATGTCAACCTACCATGGTGATTTTGGAGGATTCAGGTTGGTCTTTGAAAGGCGTGATGAAATGGTCTTTGGACCGGTGTCCCATCAATTGGATGATTTGGATGGTTGAAACCACCACATGCAGTTTGGGATGGAGCCTTCAATCTACTGGGGAACTCGCCAAGCTCCTGTGTTGGTTGGTGGAGCAAGTATTGTTTTTGTCGAGGGCGCTGTCAGGTGGTGCAAGAGCCAGTAGGTACACCTACACGCACCTGGATCAATCTGCAGCTGAAACTTGGATGGCGTCACCCAAAGCTTCATGAGATCGTTGCATATCGTTTCTGGCATAGATTGCCTTGACGAATGTCAGTGGCCAGTTGACCAGACGTTGGTCATGGTCCTTCCCGCCTCAGTTGGAGACCTCCATGCTTTCGTTGAACATGGTGGAACCCTCGTCCCGGCTTTCAAGCAGAAAGCTCCAGCTTCCACAGTCGTGGGCTGGGTATTCTAGCCAGATGACACCATTGGATCCCTACCCAGTCAGTGGATAATCCTGTGATCATCCTTGGCTTGGGCGCGATTGGTTTCCCCACTAAAGGCGATCACCGATGGAAAGTTTGGTCGTGAAACCGGGGGCTCGGTGCGTCAAAAAAAAAAAACAAGAAGCAAGAAAGCACACCAAAAACACACCAATCACTGCGTGAACCGACAGTGCCTTTCTTCTCGCCTCCCGGAGCGACGCTGTGAAGGTTCGTTTCGGCAGTGACCTGAGGCTTCTCGTCCGAGCGGATGAACGACGAGGTGCTCAGCTCGCTTCTGCTGCGCGGCGGATGGGTCTTGCGGCGCGGAGACGAAGACAGGTACGGAGACTGGATCGCAGGATTGGTTTAGAGATGTTTGGTATTAGTATGTATTAGTATATATATATTAGTATAGGTCTAGGTAATTAATTATATAAATAAAGCAGGACATGAAACTTACATATATATATATCGATTACATGTCATGTATATATATACAATAATATACACATAATTTCGTAGGATTGCCCATGATGGCATGCCGAGACCTCCCAGGCGACCAGAAGAAGGAGAATCGACCAGTGGAAAAACTCCCTATAGTCTATACACATCTATACACCCATGTCGCAGAAAGTGCACGGGATCGCCGGATGGCTTAAAACAAAGCCGAATCCGAGGCAGGCCACACCGCCACACCGAGGCAGTACGGGATGCACGATCCACCGACGATCCTGCTGCTGGAGGAACGCCAGAGAAGGGCGGCAGGTGAGACGAAGAACAAAAACCTTGAGAAAGCATCAAACCATACTACGAAAAAGCAAAAAAAACAACACGCATGTGTATAATTAATTGTATAATGTTGTATAATACCAATAATATATAATTAGATATATTACATTATATATATATATATTTTTGTTCAAAGCTAGCTGCTCGTTTGAAAATTGATGGGTTCCACTGTAAGAGCATGTTGTGACAAATATCCGGGAGGTTCTGAAAGCTTTGAAATTCATCGAGTGCACGGCAGTGCACGGTTGGCACGATTTCTTGAACGAATGCCCTATGGGCCTATGGGCCCTATGTAGAAATCAAGATGTTGAGCTCCACTACAAGACTACAAGCACCCTTTGCCTATAGACAAGGTTTTGTGGAGTGTTGCTTTGAGCAGACTTTGTATACAAAGTTATCAGTTATCACGTACCGTCGCTTGGGAGGTTTTTCAATTGTCAACCAACTCAAAAGAGGCACAAACACTGCAGGCTGCAGGGGCCACAAACAAAGCTTTCCTAGCTTTCAGCTTTGTGAAGAGATGTCTTCCCCAGTTTTGGGATAAGCGTTTTCCTTTTTTCTTCCCAGCTCTTCAGAGCTTAAGCAAACCCTCCGGAGCCGAGCTCTCTTGTGGAGCTTTGTAGCGACGTGGACCACGCTGCTTCACGAAGGACGTGGACATGCTTCACTCAGCAGTCCTCAACCGCCACTCGGAGAGGAAGAAATCCACGAGCACTTCATTTCAGGATGCAAAACTGTGTGTGCAAAAGGTGTGGAAGTTGTAGACATCTGCTTGCTGCTATATTATTGTTGCTTTATGCTACGTTCACTTGTTGCTCATTGTTGCTCCATAATTTGCTCTACTGTATACTATTACCACGGAGAGCGAGCATTTGTTTGTTCTTCAGCACATCCGCTCGACAAGTTCTGGCAACCAAGCCGTGCAAGATTTGAGCAAAGATCTACCACTGATCGCATCAGATATTTCAGAGATACAACTAGTGGGACATGAACCAGTGGTAGATATTTTGAAACTGGTATAGTATATGGG